GGATGCACAATTTCCACGATCCTTCTTTAAAAGTAACCTAGTTGCTCAGTCAGATATTCAGCCAAAATCTTAAGTGCTCGTAAGCAAGAAACACGCGTAACTCAAGGCTGAATTTAAAATACTTAAGTTGCGCTTGGGCAGGGAACATCCCCCCTAAAGTTTCAGCCTTCCAGCTTTTCTAGTTGCCGAGTTAGTTATTTTTCCGCAGGAATTTTCATAAGTCCTTACGTAAGTACCACACATAGCTTGGGGCTGAATTCGAAATATCTGAGCTGTACTTGGACAGGGAATATTCTCCCAAAATTTCAGCCTTCTGGCTTTTCTGGATACCGAGTTAGCAATTTTCCCGCCAAAAATTTTACATGCCCGTATGTGGGTATCCTACGTACCTGGAAAGCTGAATTTGAAATTTTTAAATTGCACGTGGACAGGAAACATCACCCTAAAACTTCAGCCTCCCAGCTCTTCCGATTGCTGAGTCAGTAATTTTCCTGCAGAAGCTTTCATACGCCCTTACGTGAGTACCATGCATAGCTTGGGGCTGAATTTGAAATATTTGAGTTCTACTTCGATAGGGAGCATTGCTCTAAAATTTCAGCTTTCCAGCTTTCCTGGTACCCGAGTTAGCAATTTTCTCCCTAAAACTTTCAAACGCCCTTGCGTGACTACCGCGCATATTGGAAGTTGGATTTGAAATCTTTAGCTAGTACATGCATAGGAGATATCTCTACAAAACTTCAGCCCCTTAGCTCACGTAGTCCCCGAGGTCGCTTTCCCGAAAAAAAATTTGCATATTTTTTTAAAGCGCCCGTACGCCTCGCCCAGGCGTGCACGAGGGTTAAAATTAAAAAGGGAAGGTCGCGCACGGTATAGGCACATATTCCCAAAGTTCCAGCCTTCTAGCTTTTCTGGTTCTTGAGTTGAAAGTGAGTGACGAAAAGTGCGAACACACAGACACACACACACGCACACACACACAGACAGCCTCTCCCCAATATGCGTCTTTGCAATTTACATATATGCAAAAACGAATAAAAATGATAAATGCAAATTTTCAGTTCACTAAAAAGTGAAAGTATTGCTCGAGCGATCGCTTGTCAAAAAATCCACGTCCATTTACATATACGATTGCGGTTCAGGTCCGAGCTGCGAGCGAATTTTTTGAAAATATGCAAATTTTCAGTTCATTGAAAGATTGAAAGTATTGCCCGAATGGTCGTTTTTCAAAAAATCGATGTTCATTTGCATATACAATTGCGGTTCAGGTCCGAGCTGCTAACGATTTTTGGGCCGAGGACCTGCTTGAGGCTGTGGTTGGGTAGCTAGAGAGCTGAGTTTAAAAATTTTTATCTCGCAAGTGCATAGAGAATGTCCCTGCAAAGTTTCGGCTTTCTACCCTGCCTGGTTTGCAAAATCGTTTCCCGCCAACAGATTCCTTTGGGGGTCCCGTACACATGGTCTAGGCGCGTATGGGGGAAGATCTTAAAACGGGAGGATGACACATGGGGTAGGAGCTTAAATCCAAGGTTTCAGCCTCCAGCTTTCCTTGCCGCTGAGATGAAAGTGGGTGACAAAATACACTCGCTTTCCGAGTACACACACAAACGGCCTCTCAACAATATGCGTTTTTGCTGGCTATATCAGCGCTATAGCGCTGCACAGCAAAAACGCATAAAAATGAGCTTATGGTACGACTGCTTGCCATGGATGTGCATGTTGGGCCAGCTCGGTAAATCAGCAAATATTTACTCAGCTAAAAATCAGGGAAAAAACCCAGGCTGGAACGCACCAGGCGAGTCGGTGCGATCATGCGTTTTTGCATCAAACTTTGAGG